TTTTATTTTATTTTATTTTATTTTATTTTATTTTATTTTATTTTATTTTATTTTATTTTATTTTATATTATTTTTAGAGAGCAAGGGTGGGCTTCACTTGGGAGGAACAATCTCCGTTTTCTCCCCACGATCGAGAAAATGGGCCCGTCAGAATAAATCCTGAATGGGATCGTGCAGGACTTTCGCGGACCCCAACCAAAGAAGGAAAGCAACCCTATAGGATGAAGATGAGGCGCTGGGGTGGGATGGGGGCGAAGCAAGGCTTGTGTAAGAGGCTCTGACATGATGCTCTTTTATTTAAAAAAACGGTGGGGGGAAACTTGATTGTGGGAGGGATTCGGTTGCTAGGGAATTCGTACCGTTTTCTTGGCAACCACAAGGAACAGGTTTTCTAAGAGGGTCCTTCCGAGATTTTATATTTTTCCCCCTTTTACTTCCCAGTCCAACCTAGAACCCCAAGATTCCTTGGTGGTCTCCCATCCCAAGTTAACCAGGTGTGATCCTATCCTATCCTATCCTATCCTATCCTATCCTATCCTATCCTAATATACTACCCTGCATTCTCTTCCCTTCCCTTCCCCCTTTTTTATATTTCATAGTCCTTTTCTTATAGCTTCTTGAGGTGGGTTGGTTGCCAGCTTCTCTTATTGCCCTATCAGCATGGCCGGGAACAAAAAATTATGAGAACTGCAGGCCAAAACACCTGCAAGAGGTTGGATTCCCAGTGTGGGATCTCTTTAGATTCCCAATCTGTCCCAGCTGAGAACAGGCCCCTAGAAGAAGCCGCATTCCAGCCTTCCGTGGAAATGTCTTCGTCCTTCACCACCGTGCAACGAACAGCTTCTACAGGCTGGGTGAGAAAAACCTTCTCTCTTATTTTTCCAGCATCCAAGGGACATTTTCAACAAGCTGAGTGAGCAACACACCCACCCCCCACACTGAATTTGCATTTAAAAAAAAAATATCCAAGAACCCAGAGCTCCGTATGGGCATCAGGAAGCTAGGACTCACATCTTCTGATAGATAGCAAGGCATCTGGTTGTTCCAAAGCAAGATACAAGCACACCCACGTGGGTGGTTTTGGCAAAGTCCTACCAGATGGTAGAGCTGGGGTTCTTCCAGGACCAATTTTTGTGGGAAGTCTTCCTCCTACACCGATTGAAAATTCATACCTCATCGTGATCTTCAGAGAAGGTCCATGTAGTCCATAGTCATGGATGGTGACATCCAAGATTAGCAGAAGTTCCCCTTAGATGAAGTCCAAAGTTCATCTCCTCCGGCTTTCTGATCCCCCAGGGGTCAACCATGACTTGAAGAGCAGCCCTCTCTTTGGCAACTGCCATCAACAGACCTGGAACCAATCCTACAGCCAACACGGGCATGACCTCTTCAACAACCATGGTCTCCCCGTCGTGCCAAAGAGGACCAACTTCCATCCTTCCATAACAATACCTCCATCCTTGAGTACCATGGACACCTTCTGCAGGTTGGGTGAGCAAACCTTCTACCTCCGTCCTTCTACTGACGTTGACCTCCATCCTACGGGAGGGAGCTCTCCAACTTAAAAACATGAGATGCAATCAATATCCACTCACCCAGATGTCCAACCTTTCATTCCTAGATGGTCTATCTTCTCTCCGCTCTAATGTCAGAAGGAGAAGAGCTCTTTGTTTCCATTCTTCATCTCTCTTTTCCAAACACACATTTTTTTTCCTATAACAGGGAAATGTTGGAATTTCTTCTTCTTCTGGAATTCCTTATTACCTGCCCTGTCTAAGACCCACAACCACTGTGACATTGTGCCCAAGGTAGATTTGAACTTGAATTTCTCCAAGTTAAGGGATGCAGTAGCTCGGTGCCTAAGAGGTTGAGTTTGTCGATCAGAAAGGTCGGCAGTTCAGTGGTTCGAATCCCTAGCGCTGCGTCATGGAGTGAGCTCCCATTACTTGTCCCAGCTTCTGCCAACCTAGCAGTTCGAAAGCATGTTAAAAATGCAAGTAGAAAAATAGGGACCACTTTGGTGGGAAGGGAACAGCGTTCCTCCGTGCGCCTTCGGTGTTTAGTCATGCCGGCCACATGACCATGGAGGCGTCTTTGGACAGCGCTGGCTTTTCTTCGGTTTTGTAACGTGTGCTAGTGTAATTCTTGTGGACATAATATGTATAATCAAATATTTAATCTTTGGGGTGTATTTATCCTTAATGATCCCTGCTTAGCTGCTTTGACTAGCTTCACATTTCACTCTAAACCAGGGGCCGCCAACCTTTTGGACCTCAGGGACCACCAAACTCATAATTTTAAATCCAGAGGGGACCAGAGTACCTGGTAAAATCCCCCAAAATGTCTGCAGAAAAATCCCCCACCCCGTTTTCCTACCGATCGATCGTTCTTTATTTGGGATCACAGGATACTGTCTCCAGCTCTGTTCTCAGGGGGAGAGAGAGAGAGGAGAGACTTTTGGCTTCATGCAAGGAAAGCAGCAGAAGTCTTTCTTTCTCTCCCCCAAACTCCACCAGAAATGAGTGCAGCCTCTTGGAGCAGGAAGCCTTGCAGGGTCCCAAAGACTCATTTCTGGCGGAGTTTGGGGGGAGAGAAAGAAAGACTTTTGCTGCTTTCCTTGCGTGCAGCCAAAAGCAGAAGAAGAAAGAAGCGGAAAGAAGCAGCCCAGTGGCCAGGCAAGGTACATGGGGCGAGTGGGGCAAGTTTCCCCCCTCTACCCCTTTCCCCCTCCCCTCACTAGCTCGTGTTGTTCACAATGCAAGCGATGCAAGCCTTGTGTTCCCATGGGCCATGTGGGCGGCGCAACTTTGTGTTCCCACGCAGCCTGGATTAATTGCTTTGGGGGGGAGGAACATTTCTCTGCGGACCTCCAAAATTTTCTCGAGGACCACCAGTAGTCCCCAGCCCACTGGTTGGCAACCACTGCTCTAAACCACCACGGGGGGGGGGGGGGGGGCTTTAACTGAGAGTGTCCAGGGGCTTCGCTAACAAAGAATGGTTTCAAATCATGGTTTAGCGCTTGGCCTGAAACGCTCAAAAGTCTAAGCAGATGCCTACACAGAATCTTTTTTCTCTCTCAAACCCTGGGATCCAGTCGACGTAAGCCGGCTTTTTTTCAGGCAGAAACGGAGTGCTTTGCCAAGGGACCGTATGTTCCCGGATGAATTTCAATGTTCAGAAGACAAAAATGGCCAGGCTGGTTGGCATTCAGTCGACGGCCTTGCTTTTTGACTCACAGCTAACAATGGACGAGAAAGAGGAAGAGAAAGTGTGAGTGACGGGCTTCAGCCTTGCTTTTCATTTCCTAAGACAAACAAGCCTTTGTCGGTGGGGTTTCCAGAAAACGGAGAGAGTACAAAGCTGTTGGTCTTGCCATCTCTCGGCGGCCCCGAGACTTGGCACCAACAAAAAGACCAACTTACAACAGGGGGCTGTGAGAAACCCAGAAATGACCTGCGAATCCCAGGAAGATGTGGACCAAAGTGATATAATTTGGATGCTCCGGTGGGAAGGGGAGAGTTGGCTTTGCAATGTTTTAGATTAGATTAGAAGAATTTTATTGTCATCGTACAAGTACAACGAAACGGTGGATGCACCCCAGCCACTGTTCGCCAGGCAATGAAACCAAAGCACTTAAAAATGAAGATAAGAAAAACAGAGTACCCACGTCTCCATTTGCAATTTGAGAGTAAAATATCTACGAATATACACTAAATATACATCCATCACTGACTGTAACGCTCAGGCCGAGTATAACGCACAAGAGATGGATTGTACTGTTATATGTTATTATATGTCTGAATGGGGTTTTGAGATTTCACATCTTTTCTTCCATCTTTCACATCTTTTCTTCCATCTTTTCGCACCTTATTTCGTTGTTCTCTGGTTTCTGAGTACAATGACAATAAATTTACCTAAATAAGGTAGCGACTTCATGTTTATTTGCGGTTCAGATGGCCCAGGGAAAGAAACTATTTGTTAGTCTAGTGGCGTGGGATTTTATTGACCTAAAACGCCATCCAAAGGATTCAGTTGTTGTGGGATTGGAGGTAAATCCATCTTGCAGTCCTAGAATCTTAGAACCTCCGAAGGAGGCTGAGTCCAGTTAGGATTGGGTTTGCTTGCTTCAGGAGCGATCGGATATCTTTTGCTGCTATAGGCATCCTTGAAAAGTTTGGTTCTTCTGGAAGGAGAAGGTGGATGTTTCATGGAGACACGTCCTGACCTCATCTATCAGAAATATTGGGTTTCAAGTTAGACGGTCGTTCCAGGTTGTCCTTTGCTATCAATCACTTGAGCCTTTCATGCGGACTTGGCCACCACGATTTGTAAACTTTGGTAGCAATGGAAGAAAATATTTGTAGCTCAGGGTTGAACGGTGGAATCCTTTGTTCAGAGTTTTGCAGCGTAAATTCAGCACCGGAAAAGTAAACACAGAGGGCTGATGCTTCATTTAACATCTTTATAAACATATTAAGTAAATTTTACAATACCAGGTGTAGATTTCTCCAACATGGAGCAAACTGAAACAGAAGCATGCATGTTACAGGTTCAGAGCATATTCTAGTCCAGTTCATGAATACACTCTGACATCCTTGAGGCTCTCTGAGTTCGTTTTCGTGCAAACGTTTCACTACCCAACTAGGTAACATCATCAGTACTAGAAGGGAGAAGAGTTTGTGGAAAGGAAGAGGAAGAGAAAGAGAGAGGAGGAAGAGGACTGTGGGATTCTTGGTGTTCTCGGAGCTTGGTTGCTTTCTTGCAGACATTTCATGACCCAACTAAGTGACATCATCCATGCAAACCCCACTCCCTTCTAGCACTGATGATGTTACCTAGTTGGGTCAGGAAACATCTGCAGGAAACCACAAAGCTGAGAGAGGACCAAGGACCCTCATAAACCATGATTCCTGGTTGGGTGTGTTGTGTGCACCTACGGGACTCACCTGCCTTCCCCTTAGAGGAGGGGTCCCCAAACTTGGTCACTTTAAGTTTTGTGGACTTCAACTCCCAGAATTCCTCAGCCAGCATTCTGGGAGTTGAAGTCCACAAGTCTTAAAGTAGCCAAGGTTGGAGATCTCTGCCTTTGAGACTAGACTGAAATTGTTCCTGTGTGTGTTTCTCTGGAAACTGTGACGTCCCTTTGCAAGCTCTGAGTGCAAGACATGCACAAAAGCCCTCCCCCCCCCCCCCCCCCCCCCAAAGAGGGGGAAAAACACTGGAATTGAGGAGAGGGCGGGGTGGTAGTTGCCCGGCAACCCATCCCGGGGAATAATGCTGCCTTGTGTATTATGCAAGAGAATTGTGCCTGGTGAAGAATTGAAATCCAACCTCAAATCCAGCCCAAGGTCTCCTTGTTAAACTGGGATGGAGACATGAGGAGGGTGGGGGGAAAGGAGGAGACCGGAGGGGGGGTTTAATAAATGGACTTTTAGTTTCACTGGAGCGTAAATTCATCGGCTCTTTCTGCCTCTTGCCTCGGCTGGAGGGAGAATTCCATGAGAAAGTTGCTAGGCCTGGGGGATTTTCAAGATCTTCCAAGAGACCAATTCATCCATCCTTTAAAAGAGAGAGAAAGAAAATATATAATAGAATAGACTAACAGAGTAAGAGTAGAATAAAATAGAGTAGAGTAGAGTAGAGTAGAAAATATGGAATGAATAAAGAATAGAATAGAAAAACAGAATAGAATAGAAAATATGGAACGGAATATAGAATAGAATAAAATAGAAAATATGGAATGGAATAAAGAATAGAATAGAATAGAAATACAGAATAGAATAGAATAGAATAGAATAGAATAGAATAGAATAGAATAGAATAGAATAGAATAGAATAGAATAACAGAGTAGAGTAGAGTAGAATAGAATAGAACAGAGAATAGAAATACAGAATAGAATAGAGTAACAGAGTAGAGTAAGAGTAGAGTAGAATAGAACAGAATAGAATAGAAATACAGAATAGAATAGAATAGAATGGAGTGGAATGGAATAGAGCAGAACAGAATTTGTTATTGGCTAAGTGTGATTGGACACAGATGGAATTTGGCTTTGGTGCATATGATCTCAATGTACATAAAGAAAAAAAATCTCTGTAGGTATATCCCTGCAAAATGAAATCATTATATTAATGATTATATATTATATAATTCTTATACAATATATTGTATTAATTTTTGAAGCCTGCCCTGTGATTAAAACTTTGCCAGACAGTTCCATCAAGTAGGTCTCTTCTATTGCAGATGGTAGGTAGCTGATGGACTCTCCTTGCTTCTGTCTCTCATTCAAGGTTTATGAATCACAGGGTGCCACCCAACCGAAGGTACCAACCCACAGAGTATGAACACGCAGCCAATTGTGCCACCCATGCGGTGAGTTGTACAGGTCTTCTCCAGGGAACATTCTGGTGGGATGGGACAAGGGTCCCTTGGTGGTTTTCTTCTGGACATTTCATTACCCGCCTAGGGCACGTCATCCATGTTAGAAGGGAGTAGGACCTGCAGAATTAAGAAGGGGGAGAAGAGGAGGAGGAGGAGGAGGACTGAGGGGTCCTTGATGCTCTCTGAGATTGGTTGCTTTCTTGCGGATGTTTCATGGCCCAACTAGGAATCATCATCAGTGCTAGAAGGGAGTGGGGTTTGTCTCCCTTCTAGCTCTGATGATGTTCCCTAGTTGGGTCATAAAATGTCTGCAAGAAACCAACCAAGTTCAGAGGGCACCAAGGACCCCACAATTGTTCTCCTCCTCCTCCTCCTCCTCCTCCTCCTCCCCACAAACCCCACTCCCTTCTAGTTCTGATGATGTTCCCTAGTTGGGTCATGAAACGTCTGCAAGAAACCAACCAAGCTCAGAGAGCACCAAGGACCCCTCAGCTCAACCCCGAGCTACAAATATTCTCCTTTGTAAGAACAAGAAGTTGGCTGTGCACAGTGCCCTGGTCGTGTGTCCAGTGTCCTTGTGAGCTGTCCAGTGCTCAAGTCAGATGTCCAACGCCCAAATCCACGATGTCCAACCTCCTACTCCGAATGTTCCACCTCTCTCCTACTTTCCATTTCTCTTCCAGTTCTGGATTGTTCCAAGCATCCTTGGCAGTTCAGTTCTCTACATCCTCTCGGACAATCAGTGGGAAGCCATTTCTGCCTGGATCTATGGCTTCGGCCTGTCGGGACTCTTCATTGTCTCCACCACGTTCCACACCATCTCTTGGAAGAAAAGGCACTTAAGGTAATTCTCCTACCACCCTCACAAAGGAACAAGGGAAGCTCTATTGTCAGAGGAAGTGTCACCCCCAGGAGCCATTTTTTACTTGGAAGCTTCAAGGCTGCCACATTCAATGCCTGGGGATTTGGGAGGGAGGATTTCATAGTGAGGTAGAAGGATAGACACAACCGCATTCCTTTCTCAGAGAGTCAAGGACAAGTTGCCCTGCACCTGGAGGGGAGGGACTGGAGGAATGGTTTCAGTTGGGACGATGTTTGATTGGACCATGTGCTGGACTGATGGATGCAGGGGGTGGATCTTTGATTCTCTCTTTGGGGAAGGGAAAACTCCCCGATTCGGGTTTTCCCAGATGTGCTAATATGACCACTCTCATAAAACGGAACTTTGAGGAAATGTCTGTCTCGGACTTTATCAGTTTGGAGTTGGTTAGTGGGAACGCTGACCAGGAAGCCAGTCAGATGCTTGATCCACCCGGTTTAGATCTGTCTCCTTTACACCCTGAGGAATTGGGAAGGGTCTGTTCTGAGCCTCTTGCCTCCCCCAAACCTCGCCCCTCCCCCAAAGGAGATGAAACGCAACACACACACACACACACTTTTTCTCCCTCTGCCTATTCCGCAGGACTGTGGAGCACTGCCTCCACATGTTCGACAGGATGGTGATTTACTTCTTCATCGCAGCTTCCTACGCTCCTTGGTGAGTTCTCACAAACTGCCTGACGTTCCCCTGAGGGCCACTGTCCAAGGGCTATTCTTCCTCTAAATCAGGGGTCTCCAACCTTGTCCACCGGAAGACTTGTGGACTTCAACTCATAGCCATGGCCGGCTGAGGAATTCTGGGGGTCGAAACCCGCAAATCTTCCAGTGGCCAAGGTTGGAGGCCCCTGATCTGAATGGTTCTATTGGTCTGAGTGCCTCGGTGTATCTGTGTGAGAGGGAGGGAGGGAGGTGAGGGATTGGGTAGGGGGAGAGAGGGAGAGGAAGGGAGAAGGAGGGAGGGAGGAGGAGAGTGAGAGGAAAAGCGGAGAGGGAGGGAGGGAGGAGGTGAGAGAGTTAGAGGGAAAGGGAGAAAGAGGGAGGGAGGGAGGGAGGGGAGGGAGAGGGAGAGGGGAGAGAAGGAGAGGGAGGGAGGGAGGGAGGGAGGAAGGGGGGGAGGGAAAGGGAGAGAGAGGGAGGGAGACAAAGGGAGGGAGGGAGGTGAGGGAGAGGGGGAGAACCTAGTTTTGCCATGTCCTCATAGTCTTTCAAGTAGTAGGTGGAACCATCTAAAGCCACCGGCTGGGGACGAGACTTGGGTACCGTCAAATCTAGATTGAACAGGCTTATGGTGCCCTGGGGAGGGAGGGGCCAAGGTGGCTCTTGAACCCCAAATGCCACCAAAGAGGTGACAAACGTCCTTTGTGCAATTGCACCATGGAGGTTTCAAGCCATCTCGGTAGCCGGCCGGCTTGCCTGCCTTGCTAGCCGGTGGCTTCTTTCCGTGACTTGTATGTCCCCGTTGCGCTGCCAGGCTGAACCTGCGGGAGCTGGGTCCTTGGGCCTCCCACATGCGCTGGATCATCTGGATCATGGCCTCGGGTGGGACGCTCTACGTCTTCTTCTTCCATGAACGGTGAGAGCGAGCGAGCGAGCGAATCCTTGGAGGGAAAAATTCATGCTTTGGCTGGGAAAGGGAGCTCAGGCTTTCGTGGGTCCATACCGCCCTCTTGTGGATAGGAAAGATATCACGGGCTTCCTTGTGTCATTTTTTTAAACGTGGCTTATTTATCGTGGCTTATTGACTGAACAAAGTTAGGAACAGGGTCGGAAGATCGTGAAAAGAAGGAAAACCTGCCCCATAACTCATGGGCCCAGGCTGTCCGGACAGAAGAAACGAGTTTTCTCAAATAGCTGCACCTCCCACCGTGTTTTCCTCGAAAATAAGACCTGGTCTTATTTTCTTTGGGGCTCGAAAAAAAAGCCCTAGGGCTTGTTTTCAGGGTAGGTCTTATTTTCAGGGGGAAACATGGTACGTAGCTGCATGAATTCATGGCACTGAAGGAGCAGTGTGTCTTATTAAACGGTAGTCCTTGACTTATGACTGGTTGCTTAGCAGCTATTCAAAGTTATGATGGCCACCCCCCCTCCCCAAAAAGCTACTTACAACTTGGGTTCCAGCGGCTGCCCCTCTATGCCCAGTCGTAAAATTGGGTTGGTCACCCGGGAGTCCACTTTACGACCGTCGTGACTCAGGACTGTAATTGCCGGGACTCAATTCCAGTCCTACATTAGGAATGGTGCGTTGGCCTAGATGTAGAACTCTCTCCCTCCCAATCAGGGGATGGTGAGTTCGATTCTAGGTTGAGGAAGATATTTCTGGGCACAGTGAGAATATATTTGCTGAACAAAACTCCGCATTGGCAACAGGAAGGGCGTCCGGCCACTGAAACACTGTGCTAGCTCCATTCAATTGCCCATTCTCCACTCCACAAGGGATAAGGGAGTCATTAAAAGAAGATAAATCCCAGTCATAAATTGATGCTGTATTCCCAACCCCTGTTGTTTTAGAAACTTCCCAGGTGAGGTGAGCCCAGAACAAACTGGGGTTAATTCAGCAATGGGAGGTGGGGGAGGGAAGCTGATCATGGCTTAGATTGAGTTGCAAACCACATCAAGGTTTCTCAAACTCAGGTTGGCTTTTTTGATCCCCAGGTACAAGGTGGTGGAGCTGCTTTGTTACCTGGTAATGGGTTTTTTCCCCGCCCTGGTCATTCTCTCCATGGTAAGTGACACACATGGAAATGCAGAACGTGGCAATCTCCACGCAGATAGTCCTCGACTTAAAACCGCTCGTTTAGTGGCCGTTCCAGGTTAACAACTGCAGTGGGGGGAAAAAAGCGACTTTGTGGCCGTTTTTCACAGTTACGACCTTTGCCACATCCCCATTACTGAGAGTTTTGCAGTGATAGTTGAGCGCCAGAAAAATAAACACAGATGGCTGAAGTTTCATTTGACATCTTGATAAATATAATAAGATTTTACAAACCGGTTGTAGATTCCTCCCACATGGAGCAAACTCAAACAGAAACATGTTGCAAGTTCAGAGCAGAGCTCCAGCCTTCAGCAAGCAAGCAAGTCAGTTTCATCCTCAACAGACAGACTCAGAGCTCAACATAGCTGCCGAGTTGCAGAGCTTAGCATAGAGCCATGTCTAGGCTACTTCTAGTTTCAGTTTCCAAACTGTCCTCATTGGCTGACTTAGTTGCTATGCCTATTCATTGGCTGACCTGGTTACCAAGCTCTATTCCAGGTCGTGAATATACTGACATCCCTGGTCACATGATCAAAATTCATACGCTTGGCACCTGGTTCGTATTTATGGCGGTTGCCACATCCTGGGATCACATGGTTCCCTTTGGCGACCTTCTAACCAGCCAAGTCCACAGGGGAAGCCGGATCCGCTTAACAACCAGGTTACTAATTTATCAACTGCGGTGACTCCCTTAACAGCCTCAGGCAAGAAAGGCGTCAGCGTTCCAGAAAACTTCCACTCCAACCAATAACTCCAAGACAGGTATCTTCCCAAAAGTTCTGTTTTTATTTGGATAGTAAACTGGTACAACTGGAGAATCCCGAATCTGAAAGTTCTGGGCTTTCTTGCAATAAGTAAAAACTACAAATCCACCCCCTGCACCCATCCTCACATCACATGCCCCAATCACCATCCGTCCCAGCTTGTGATGACATCAAAGGGGCGCGGCACAAAAGCAACAAAGTCCCCAAAGTAGGCAAAGTCCCTTTAATTCCTCCAACTTGGCCCCCAATGTCCAGTTATCCTTGGTCACGTGATCAAAATGCAAGTGCTTGCAACTGGCATGGACTTATGACAGTTGTAGCATCCTGGGGTCATGTGATCACCATTATCTGACCTTGCCATCTGGCTTCCAACGAGCCAACTCAATGGGAAGCCAGATTTGCTGAAGAACCTTAGGACTCCCTGAAGAACTGCAGTGATTCGTTTAATAACGGTGCCCCCCCCCCCCAAAAGATCATAAAACGGGACACACAACAATGGCCTTGCTTAGCCATGGACGTTTTTGACTCCCTTGTGGTCATAAGTCGAGGAGTATCTATACTTGACTTTCACAGATTCTCGGCCTTCTTCTCCCACTCCACTGACTTCCTGCTCTGCTTCTCTTGGTTGTTGCAGCCCAACACGGATGGTCTGGTGGAACTGGTAGCTGGTGGCATCTTCTACTGCTTCGGTACGGTCTTCTTCAAGAGTGATGGACGCATCCCCTTCGCCCATGCCATCTGGCATCTCTTTGTGGCATTCGGAGCTGGCACTCATTACTATGCTATTTGGAGGTACCTCTATCGGCCAGATGGTCTCCAATCTCACATCTCCAGGTAGTTGCCTTAAGGATCCCAAGTCCAAAGGGAGGAGGTCCTTCCTTCCCTCTTTGGTATCTTCTGGAAGGTTGGTCCTTCTCCTCCTCCATGTTCTTCAGGACATCCAAGGTGAGATGGTGGCTTTTAGACTGGACTTCTTGGCCAGGCCCAGAACTTTGGAGGTGGAACTACAAAAGAACTGTGACAACACATATTATTATTATTATTATTATTCTTGGATGAAAGTTCTGATGTGAAAGCAACAATGGATGGGTCTTAGTGAAAAGGACAGTTAGGAAGCAACTACACTGGAAACATCTGCTACAACTCAAGAGCCCAAGAAGCCAACTGAGAAGTAAGAAATGTCTCAAGAGATTGGCCGGAGAGACTTTTAAGGGTCCGTGGGTTCAATGGTTGTGTTTCCATTCTCTCTCCTACCACAAGAACAAGTCCTCTGTTGGCCTTCTACTCTACCTCTTATGATGCAGTTAGTTGATCCTCTCTAAGCCATTCCAAGAAGATTGTAGAGGTAGAACTGTCATGGCTTTGCTGTCTGAAGTAACTCCTGTGAGGTCTCTTGATGATTAAGACGGTGGTAACCATGTAAGGTAATCTGTATATAACTTTAAAATCTTGACATCCAACTGATTTTGAAGCCCTTCGACCCGGAGGTGGTATTCAGCAGGTTCTGACCAGTTCTGGAGAACCAGTCGCGGAAATTTGGAGTAGTTTGGAGAACTGGTGGTAACCTTCCCTTTGGAGTGGGGTGGGAATGGAGATTTTACACTATCCTTCCCCTGCCATGCCCACCAAGCCACACCCACCAAGCCTTGCCACGCCCACAGGACCAGTAGTAAAAAAAATTTGAATCCCACCACTGCTTTGACCATGTCGTCCTGAAGAGATACGGTGAGAAGATAGATGGGATCATGTTCCTTTAGAATGAGGTGGTGCAAGGGACCATATTCCTTCAGGAGGGAATGGTGGAAGGAACTACCTTCCTTCAGACTGTGGAATGGACTTCAGGAGGAGATGGTGGAAGGGACCATGTTCCTTGAGGAGGAGTTGGTGGAAGGCATTCCTTCAAGATAAGATGGTAGATGAGACCCTATTGCCTTATGTCCTCTTTTCCCTATTTCCCTCTGTGTAAAACCTCCTCACAAATCCCAACTAACAGTGTCAGCATTGAGTAGGGTCTGCACTTCTCTCTCTGTCGATATTTACTAGCTGGGAGAAGGCCAAACCAATCAGCCCACTCACCCAATATTCTGCAACAGTCCAGGGTATGGACCCACCTTAGGATTCTGACTACCTCATGGTGTTTCATGGATAGAGTAGATCTTTGGTATTGTCACAAGCTTAAGAGTTCTCTAAGGCAGTTGGTCCTTCCTTTAAGCCCGCTTGGTATAATTTCGGCTCCCTAAGAGTTACTGCTGATACCTGAATCACAGGCGGTTATGATTTAAGTCTTCTTCCCAAGGAGAATGAGTTGACAATCTAGGTCTATCATTTATAGCAGGGGTGGTCCAACCTTGAGAACTTTAAGACTTTAAGACCTGTGGACTTCCAACTTCCAGAATGTTAAGACTTGTGGACTTCAATTCCCAGAAGTTTTTGGCTGGCTGAGGAATTCTAGGAGTTGAAGTCCACAAGTCTTAACATTGCCAAGGTTGGACACTCATGGTTGATAGCTTTCCCATTCATGAGAAGACTAAGGTGTCTCTCTCCATTCATGTCAAGTCTACTTCTGGTGACCTCCTGTGGTTTTCTTGACAGCATGTTGGAAGTAATTTGCACCGCCCTCTTCCAGCCTAAGGTTTTCAGTTTCCACTCTAGCCTACAGCACTGGGATTCTCCATCAGAATCCCATCCAAATATTAACCAGGCCCGACCCTGCTTAGCTTCCCAGCTTCAAGGACGCCAGCCAACTGTTCTTGCCTTTGCTGTGAATTCCATTATGGACCCTTCAACCAAATCAACTTGGATTCCTTGAAATCTCTGTTTGTGACTAATTCTGATTCCATTTTTCTGTTTGTGACTGTTTTGTACTCTATAATCAGGGGAGCGAATGGGTGACACCGATCGCCCGAGCATTTTGTACTAACTTTTCATGACTTTGTAACTTTAAAAGAATGTCGGTGAATTTTTGAATAAGTCCTGTATTTTAAACCACTAGTCTCTTATTTAAACATAAGTATTTTATATTTAACACACAGTATTATTTAAGGCCAGCGGTAATAAAAACCACGTTAGCGAAGAGGGTTTCTTGTGGAATAAGGTTTAAATAATAAAAATAATAACTTCTTTGGGTCTGTATTTATTATTACTGAAAATGGGAACATTTTTAATGAGGGTTTTTTTTTTAAAAAAGGGGGAAGCCATTATTCATATACTGATGACTGGCTGGAGAAGTCCACAAGTCTTTAAGTTTCCAGGGTTGGTCACCTCTTGTCTAGAAAAGAAATATTGTCTCATGCTTCTGGCCTTCAAACATGCTTTAGTTAAGGGATATGCGAGTTTGGCAAACTTCAAGACTTGTGGACTTCAACTTCTAAAATGTTGAGACTTGTGGACTACAATTCCCAGAATTCCCTAGCCAGCCATGTAGGGTAACATTCTTAATAGATGGTGGGTATGCAGTAAGTGTAATATATCTTGATTTCAGCAAAGTGAAAAAAAAGAGCTGGCTGAGGAATTCTAGGAGTTGAAGTCCACAAGTC